GAAAACTCCACAAGGACGCCTTCTTAAAGAAGCACGACACCAAACTGGGTTTTATGTCGGCCTTTGTTAAGGCTGCTGCACACGCTCTGATCGACCAACCAGCCGTCAACGCTGGTAAGAACACACAAACATCTCCACTCTCACACACTCAAGCGGCCAACTTTACTGATTAAAACTTCTTTTTGTTATTTTACAAAATGCTTTTGCAGTTATTGATGACACAACCAAAGAGATCGTCTACAGAGATTATGTAGATATTAGCGTTGCCGTGGCCACTCCAAAGGTATGAGATTTGAGTCTCTGTAAACTGCTGTTAGATCTCTTGACTCCTTCAATTTTTGCTCCAGGTAACATGGATCAGACATTAACCAGGTTTGACTTTTAGGGGCTTGTTGTACCTGTGATCCGGAATGTTGAGACCATGAACTTCGCTGACATTGAGAAAGCCATTAATGCTCTGGGAGAAAAGGTAAATGATGAGAGACAGCACAGACGTCCTAGAATCATTTCGTTTTGAACCATTTCATCTCACTGGGAAAAGCAGTCTTTCAGATATTTGTTGTTCCTGTGCACCCCTGAATAAATGAGTAATTCCTTTGCGTTTTGTTCCTCAGGCTCGTAAAAACGAGCTCGCTGTCGAGGATATGGACGGAGGCACTTTCACCATCAGCAACGGTGGCGTGTTTGGCTCCATGTTTGGCACGCCCATCATTAACCCACCGCAGTCTGCCATCCTGGGCATGCATGGCATCTTTGACAGACCTGTGGCCGTCAATGGCAAGGTGAGAATTGTACAGAGATCTTCTTTCTTTAAATTATAATCCTAGAATCAGTATACAGTTTTTCATATATAATATTTTTAAGACTACTAACTACTGTCTGCTTTGACAGGTTGAGATCCGGCCCATGATGTACGTGGCATTGACGTACGATCACCGACTCATTGACGGCAGAGAAGCCGTCACCTTTTTACGCAAGATCAAAGCGGTGGTGGAAGATCCAAGAGTCCTGCTCCTGGGAATGTGACGTTTCCGCCACTAAATTCTTATTTAAAGATACTCGGCTGCATAAAAATGAACTCCACATCACAGAAAACGCACAAAATAGCCTGTACCACTATTGTTTTTTACAAGTGTTGATACTACAGGGGCGTACCGGGGTTGTGTTCCAATGCTCATTGCACTTAAATGCATGTCATTACCTGTAACGTATCTGTCAAGTTGCCTAAATTGATGAAACTAAAAGTTTGCTACTTTGATCAGTAATTATTTTACGACGTTTGAATTAATCAAATGGAAATAACTTCAAAAACAAGACAAAACTCTGGCTTTAACTCCACATAAGCCTGTCTAAAGATGCGTTATGAAGCCTTCGGATGAATGAAGCGGTATGCAAACTCACTCTCATCACAGTTGTATAATCATAAAACAGAATGGCTTTTCCAGACAGCAGCTGCTTGCATAACATTTCCCCCCCGCTTGTTAATTAGTGCTCTTGAGCCACTTTTTCCACAGTAGGGCCGAACAGGGATAAGTCAGATTAGTTCAAGATGTTGACGTTAACACAGGTTTCACAGATTGCTTTGGTTAGACACTGTAACCGGCAACAGCCTGGAGAAAATGAGTCGGTAACCAGGAAACCAGGTCTTTGTATGGAACTTGTGTGTACAGCAGTGCCATGCCTTTAAGTCCACATCAACTCTCTGTTTGACTTGGTTTAATCATATTCCTGCCTGTCCTGTGTTGTATATAGCAATCTAGTATAAACTTGCCTCGCTCACTGTTGTCAAGGTTACATGCTCTGATCCAACTGTTATCAGTTATTTAGTAAAACAAACGAACATTTCATTTTTGTTCAACAGAAACTGTACATAACAAAAACCTCATGCTTTTTTACATAGATGCACACAATTTGTTACTTTATGAAAAATATGTTCGAAGTAAAGTTCAAAGTGCACAATTTGCAGGTTTTTATGCTGGAACATTCATTTTCATTGTCCAGTCTCGTATATGAAATGCTTCTACTTATTTAAAGAAACAATTTCAAACATTAAATCTCTTGATTTATATGTACTGAAACTTGTCTCACACTTTTCTTCTTCATGTTCATACATAGGTGTTCTATTCTCCTCATGCTATTTTCAAGAAGTCTCTGAAGAAGTCTAGTGAATTATCCCAACTTTACTCCTGATCTTTCAAAAAAAACCCTTGTCTTTTTGCAGATGAACTGGACATTCACATTCATCTCCTGGAAAGTCTTTGTCTCTTTTTAAAAGGTCTTGGAAAAGCAATGCTGGCAAAATAAAAGCAGAGCGCCGAGGTAATGGACGTCTTTGCGGCCGATCTTGGCTAAAACATTTTATCTCGTGCCAGATTCTGTTTCGCTCCCCGAATTCTCTGCCGCATGTGAGTTGTGTGCCAGCGGTGGATCTTCAAAGCCTCATTAGCCAGCCTGCCGCTCAGCTCTTGAGAAGCTCCAAATAATGGGATCATCTCTGACAAAGTCTTGAGGGTTGCTTGGCCCTTTCTCCCACTTCACAAAAACAGGCTCAAGTGTTTGCAGCTGTGTATGATACCTCTTCAGTATTTCTGTTTACTTTAATAATCACAGGGCACAATGGGTCCTAATGTACGTCTTTGTTTCTCTGCCAGCACCTACACAAATGTCTGAACAACACTGTTTGGAGGAAAAACACAGAATTCATTACGCGGGCACAAAAAACCAAAACATTACATTACCATGAGAATACTGGAGGTTCTAATGGGCCTGAATACAGCAAACAATGATACAAGAGCTCCTTTAATTTAATTATTTACTTTTATTACCGCTCAAGTTTCCATTAGCGCTTTTGAGATCATGATAATTGGCAGCGTATGCCAGTGGGTGCATAGATATCTGAAGGGCCTGTTGGCAGGTTTTATGTTTCGTCTTCAAAATTTGGCCAAATCTGTGAATTTCCAATGGGACTGCTCAATAAGACGTGGGTTTCAAGTCTTTGTGTCCATTCAGATGAAAGATGGCCCATTAGAAATTGGCAGCTAGCTGTTTGTTTTGATTAAGCCACATCAGAGAGATAATTTACCTAAATTATTCTGTTATTTTTTTTCTCGCTTTCAAAACAAGCTCATTGTGTCAATACTGTTATATAAAGAATGATATTTTAGTCCAGCTGAAAAAGTACATTAAGAGAAATGTGTCCATTACTGGACAGCTGATTTAAAAAGCTGAGTACACTCTATGTACAGGTTTTTTGGGAGCAGTACTGCATAAAAGATTGAAGATGTTTAGTTCAGTTTAGTTGTTTTTTTTTCAGTTCATCCTCCAGTCTTATCAGCGAAACCTCTGATTGGTCCCAAATTCATTTAGCATCAATGAGCATGACAGAAAAGCCAAACTGAGCCAGAATCAGTTAGAACAAGAAGACAGTGTCCTGTAAAAAGGAGTGAAAGCCTGAAGCCCACAAAAGACCTGTGGCAAGTTCTTCATGTTGCTTGGAACAATCCAGCTGCCAAACACCAGATGCAGGTAAACTGTTTGTTAATACAGTTTATGATTTTTGTGACTTTTTTCTAGGTTTTTTTTAAGCAACCTCACACTAATGCATGAAAAATCTACTCTTTCCTTTCTGCTGCTCCCTCCAGGGACCTCCACAGCTGATCCCTTACTCTCAGGTCCACATTCCTGCCTTTGCTACTGTCTCCTACCTTCTAATACACTTCATGCCTTTGTTGCACTTGTTCCAAAATGCTTTCACTTTGCAATAATACCGCTTATAGTTGATGGTGAAATATCTAGGAAGGAAGAAATTTCACAAACTGACAAGGGCATCCCGTTACAACACCACACTTGGATTCAGTGAGCTCTTTAGAACGACCCGTTCTTTCACACAGGTTTGCAAACGTAGACTGCAAGGCTGGGTGCTTGATTTCATGTGGAAAAGGACTGAAACCCCCCTTAAATTCAAAGACGAAGAGGTGTGGCCCAGTACTTTAGTCCCTATAGTTTGCATACTGAAGCATACAGATGGGCTCAAATTTGGATTCAGTCTGGATCTGGATTCTACAAAACCTGTTTCAGCAGCATTGACAATAAAGCCCAGGTGTTGACATAGAGGTCAACATTCATGTTTAGGAAGATCCAGAAAGAGTGAAAGAAGCACCAACCAAAACAGACGGTGGTTTGCTGACACCTGTAGCTCATCTCGTAGACAAATCTATGGAACTGTTACTCCAAGTTTCTTTGTAACACATGCCTGTTAAAAAACTAATAACTGGGGCTCCTTTCACTTAAAGGTTTCAAAACAAAGCTAAATCTCTGATAAAATATTCAAAAGAATAATGATAATTAAACTGTCAGTTTAAAGGGTGACACATCTTCTGATCACCCATAGTTGTATCACAAAAAGCCGTTTAATTGTGACGCAAAAAGCCGACGCAGATGAGACCGTGCGTTGTGTCATTGTCTCCTCTGTAGCTGCATCTGGAGCCACCTGGCAGAAACCGATAGCGCTGCTCGATATCGCACCTTGAGACAATTCAATTCTGCACACTCTTAATAATAATAGGAATCCCATTCGGCAGGGCCTGCATAAGTAATGCTCTGCATGCATATTCATAAGTGTACCGTTTCCTTTGCGGGCCATTTCATTCAAAGCTAACGAATGTGGTGAAACAACTGGCTCGCATCTGGCCCTATTCTTTGTGTCGCCTCTGTCCTTTGATATGGACCCCAGCTCTTTTCTTCTTCCTCCTCTTGTTCTGTTGTCATACCAGAAGATTATTTTGGATGGAGAGAATGAGGCAGAGGACCCCGCTGGCCGAGCCACAGCTCACAGCACTGAGGTTGGTGCAGCTGGTTGATGTCACAGGTTCAAGTGTACACACTGAAGTGGACCGATTTGGATTTAGCTAAAACTGTGAAAAAATTGCAAAACTGCTTTTAGTCGAAAGTTATACTAGAAATCAATGAAGGAACTACTGCATATTAAGGAGAAAATCAAGTATAAACTCCAACAACATTTATTTAAAGATGTCAACGGCCCTCCCAAATCTTCCTGTTAGTGATACTGTGTCTCCACGTCTATGACAGCTCAGTCAGCTGACTGCAAAAACAGAGACACAGTTTAAAGAGAACCTGACATTAGATTCATGGCTGACAGACGACGTTCTGAAGATATTTCTCACTTAGTAAGTGTTTAACTTGAAACACCCCTGATTACATTTAAAGGCTTACTTCACACCCCAGACTGTTTTTAAAATGGATGTATGGATGAAACAGGATGCAAAGCAGCTTAGTTTGAGATTTCACAATGGGACATCACTAACCAATGACAGCACAGTGCCTACGTCCATCATTTATATACAGTCTATCATCCACACATAAAAAACAACCTCACTGAACTCTGTGTTCAAATGAAGACAATAAAAATATTATTGAAAATACTGCGGGGTAAAAAAGCCCAAGTTAAGATGATTCTGTCAAACTTGGATTTCTAAATGAAAAGAACAAGAAAATAAACTTTTTTTATTTAACCTCAGTGCTGTCCAGGTTTTCAAAAACCCAGGCAAACTAGAATAAATGAACTGCATTTGTTAAAGACATGATCAGGGGTCATCATGTGCTGCTGTTTGTGTCTTTGCAGACTAACCTGTACACTATGGTTGCCGTGCAGTTCTTGTCAAACTTCCTGACCAACCAGCCAAGCTGCTGTTGATCCAGAGGTATGTTAGCTTCCTGCATGTGTGACAAGTTCAATTTCCCAATCGCTCATTCACGCAAGAGTGGGAGCTACAACTTACTAAGTTAACATTCTGTCATAGATTTGCTATCGTTGCTCATGAGGTGCATTATTACATTATCACTGCAGCATGACAAACCGTTAGCCTGACCTTTACAGCCTTCCTGAAGGCAGAGGTGGAGACTTTCATGGTTTCCTCTTTGTCCAGAGCCTGGAAGAAATCCATGATGCTCTTATTTTGCTCTTCAAAGAACTTCTACGGAAAAAAACATATAGAGAGAGATCTTGTTTTACAGTTGAAAGCATGTTAAAGAGGCTGCTAAGACTTCTGAAGTATGAACTGAAAAAGCAGAAATGATTTTATTGATTTTCCCATCTTTTCCCATCACCAGTTTTCTCAGCCTTCTTGACAATGTACCTTAAAGATCCCAAGTGCCAATAAGTTCTTGGTGACGGAGGGCAGAATATAATACTGGAACCGCAGAGCAGGGCGGGTCACGCGGGTTTCTTCCAGCAGCTCCACAAAGGTCTCACAGACAAGCACACTCTGCACTCACACAGTCACAGACATATTATGATCATATAATATTGTGATTGTGTATCTAATTACTTTTGGGGGCTTGTGAACAAAAATGTACTCCACTGCGGTGGTGTACAGAGGCAAAATTACAACAAATGCATCATTAACCAAAAACAGACTGTAAATTAAAACAGATACTACTTTTATTTACACCTCAGCTTATATTCTTTCGCGGCACTTACAGAAATATCGATCTCCTCCAGTGCTGATTTCATGTTGTTTTTAACCGTTCTGAGCAGCGTGGCGGCTCCGATTTTTGTTATGGGGTTGCGAGAGAGCTGAAACGCACACGCAAAGACCAAACATGATCTCAAATTCATAGGGTGCAACGACATTAAAATCGTTACAATGAAGTATTGCTGCAGGAGTCTTTTACTCACTTTGAGAACCTCGAGGGTTTCGTTGGTGGCCAGGCCCTGGCAGAGCAGCCTTACAGCTTCATCGTCCACACAGTTAATGCTGAGGTCCAGCAGCACAAGTGTGTCATTTTGTTGCAGCACTTCAGCCATCAGCTGTACCTCTGGACGGCCAAATCCACTGTTCGACAGCTGGAGCTGCTTCAGTGTTGCGTTTACCTGAGGAAAGAAAAGGGGGGAGAGAAGGTCAGCAACGAGAGTCAACAAAACTGAACTCTTTGCTCGAAGTGTGTCATTTTAGTCACCTTTAGACCAGCAATCAGAGCCGCATTGCCACGTATAAGAAAGTGATTCCAGCTCAGATTTAGGACTTCAATACCGATGTTCTCTGCTACAAGGAAGTGAAATACACATTTTTACAAAGTCACAATACATTTGAGACTAATCTACAAGCTACATGTAAAATTTTCTCAAGTTCAAGAAATACTTTAGGAATACTTAATACTTTACTATTAAGTAATATATCAGTGGGTCACATTTCTCTTTTATAGGCCTGCTTGTTTGTTTTCATAATTACTTTAGTTTAGAAAGTCTGTACAGCAGCCAATCCAGGACTTCAAACTGCTGAAAATCAAATGCTGCCCAACCAAAGTACGTCTGATCATCACACGGACCTAAGATGAAGTATATAGTATTTAGTTCTTTATGTTTTGTTGATGCATTTTGATTGCCTGCTAATTTGCTCTGCTGGCTTTACTTCTACTACCAGACAGCCATTGCTTCAGTTTTATTTCTTCCCTACTCCTGACGAGATATAAATTCAAGTTCGAGTTCAAGACCAAAAACAGTCAGAAAATTAAAAAATGTGTTATTTTAAAATCCCCTTTTTTTGTTTCAGTTCTATTTCTTATTTAAATAGTAGCTGTATGTATGGAAATGTATGTAATGTATGTAAATATATAATGTGACTTTTTACCGGTAGTTAAAATCACAAAATGAACCACCTGCAATACTTCCACAGCCCACCAGGAGGCTACAACACCCACTTTGAGAATCAATGCCGTGCAGCAGAATTTGTCTTTTTCTCTAAAATACTTAAACTACTACAATGATATAGTATAATATCATAAGGGCACACTGACTATATTTCATAATGGAAGGAAACTCAACAACAAGAACAATAATGCTCAAACAGCCTTCACAGTATATCTACTAATAAGAAGCTATAATCCTCAGCTTTTTAGCAACTTTCTTTCCCTGACTCTCATTGCATGATCTATAATATTCTTTGTTATCACTACAGAGGTGTCCTCCCACATGAAGGTTTATTTATACGGTGCAAAATTGCCTCAAGGTACTTCCTATCTTCACAGAAACAGGGAGGGGGTAGCCATCAGTGGCAACTGATTGTGGGTGATGGGAGAGAGAGCACAACTCGCAGAGAGAGAAGGCCGAATCTAATGACATGCTGAGTGCTGACAAGGTGAGCAGAGAGGAAATGCTCAGTGGATCACAGGAAGTCACACAGCAGTTTGTGCCTATAACAAGTAACTAAGGGATCCTTCTGAGTCACCCGATTCAGCCCTAACTATAAACTTCATCAAAAAGTCAAATCTTAAAAGTAGAGAAACACCAGAGAGTGAAGAGTGAAGTTCTCTATTAGGACAATATGGTACTACACCAGTGGTCCCCAACCTTTTTTGCGCCACGGACCGGTTTATGCCCAACAATATTTTCATGGACCGGCCTTTAAGGTGTCGCGGATAAATACAACAAAATAAAACTAGTACCGGTACCGAAAAAAAGAAAATTTATTCATAACACACCTGAAAAGCCCAAGGAAAACCGAGTAAACGATAAAAACGACAACAAAATAACGCTGAAAACTGATAAAAACCCTGAAAACTATACATTTCACACCTGAGCCTCAACTCTCACAGCCCGGTACCAAACGACTCACGGACCGGTACCGGTCCGAGGCCCGGGGGTTGGGGACCGCTGTACTACACGGTCCATATTGTCCTAATACGGCCTGATTATTCAAAATGCTGTTTGTAAGGAAAACAATTTTAAATTCTAGACTTAACAGGGAGCCAATGCAGAGAGAGAGAAATTTACAGCTGGATGTTCCAAAGTGAGGATAGCTTGTTTCTACCCTAACGCTTAAAGCCCAGATGCTATTCCAAAATTGTCAAAAGCTGCTTCATCATTAGAATTTCTAATTTACAAAAAATAAAAGTAAAGCTTTGCATTAATTTGAAGGATCTAATGTGAACAGAAATAGAGATGATCTGTACCTAACATGACACCCAAGTCTTCTCCTCCTGCATCGCAGATGCAGTTGTAACTGAGGTCAAGCTCTTTGACCACAAAATCATTCTGTTAGATAGGAAAGAAAATTCTGAATTGCAGCTTAAAGCACATATAGACGTGACACATATAGACATGTGTAATTCATTATGTATGCGGCATTCGGCAGTCTGCACTCACCTTTAATGCTTCTGCCAAGCATTTAGCTGCAGCGTCACTAAAGTCATTTTCTAAGAGAACAAAGGGAAATGAGAGAATTACCTTCTTCATTTCGCTGCTGTATTACAGTGATAGACAGAAGTTCATGTCAGCATAGCTTAAGACTTGGCTGAGCACCTGAGAGGTTGATGGATTTGAGCTTACGATTGTCTGACAGCATTTTGGAGATAACCTCTGCTGCTTTAAGGCCCAGCTTGTTGTCAGAAAGATTCTGAAGAAAAGACAAGATTGAGATTTTTGTTTTTTAAATAACATTAAGGCCATTTCTCTTGCACATACAGCAAGA